ATTTTTACCCCCATAAAAGCCCCCATAAACCCCCGTTCCCATGGTCCGATCATGCTGGTTCGCGAACTCGTTCGAATAAACGTAGGTTTACACGTTTGTACCAAATTTCATCAAAATCGGATCTTTTTTGCTCGAGTTATCGCGCTAACGGACACACACACACACACACACACACATTATATATATATATATATATATATAATATATATATATATATATATATTATATAATATATATATATATATATATATAATATATATATAATATATAATAATATATATATAAATATAATATATAAAATAATAAAATATAAAAATAATAATATATAATAAAATAATAATAATTAATAATAATTAATAATAATTAATAATAATAATTAATTAATATTAATAATTAATTAATATATAATAAAATAATATATAAAATATAATATATAATATATATATATATAATATATATATAATATATATAATATGTTATATATATATATATATATATGAATTTGAACGGATGATGTTTTTGGCCTCTAGGGACCTCAAAACGAAAAAAAAATCTGTCCCGGGTCCAGGTCTTACCATGAGTACTACGGTAATAGCTTATTCCCTATATGGGAAATTCGCTAAAACGCATGATCATGTAATCGTCCAAATTCTAACTCAACCCCTTTTATTATCTAAATGTTAAAACATGGCCTAATATGCGTACTCTTAAACATAGCCTTCGGCACATGACTACATAATCGTAGTATATTATGTGTGTTGAAATTTTATGTTTCTATAATGCAGGATAGAGCTTTATCAACTAACAGTATTTACTAATATTTTAAAACCAAACTAACAAACTCTACACATAGAGCCATTCTAAAATATCCAGTTTATACACAGTGTAGTAACTGAGTGTTTGGTACAATCACAAAGAATATTAAAAACATATTTTTTTATATATGCACAATGATATGTACATATAAACGTTAGGATATGTAAACAAGGATTTTATTCGTACTACATTTAAAGAAGATTCCATTCCCAACCTAAAATTTACTTAACAATTATAGGCTATTAGTAGTTATTATATTTTTAACTAAAATCGACATTTATCACAAATCTATTTTTATGCAATCCAAAAATATTATGTAACTATGTGTGTCATATTACAAATTTAAGGACCTATATTCACAGGAAGTAGTACTTTTAGTGAGTAGAAATATATATACTGAAAAACTATATTTCCGATCTTCCAGAGAGAATTTATATCGATCTCACTGATAAAATAATACTAAGGAACAAATATGGACAGATGTGTGACCAACGGGCTTGAAGCTGGGCTTAGGGGGACCTTAGAAGAGATTTATGACGTTCTTTACCTTCCCATGGCACCTTTGACTTAGCACTGGAAACTGCAACCCCCTCTATTTACTACTTACTTGATCACAGTTTATTTGTTTGATTTTCTTAAGACATAGCAAACGCGGTGTAACATGATTGTTGGACACTAAAACTATTCAAGTAAAGTGGTGACAAAATTGTCGATAAAACAAGAGGTATTTTCGTCGGTTGAAATTGTACAAAGAGAAAATACATTACATGTCGTTAGACACAGTGAACAATGGATGAAAAGATAATTTTACTGATATTGTCAAACAATCATAAATGTATTCAAGTTTCCTACCTCTCTGTAGTTTGAGATATAGTGTATGACGATGTCACTCTAACATTGTATGGAAATTGTATTTAGTTTAAGTATTAAAAGTTAAATATTTTAAAATTTTGGAACTTACTTGCATCTATGATTCATGTTATATACGTTACTGGCAAAGCATATAATTGAGGTTTCTATTGAATGACTGGGAATCCTATAGAATACACGTAGGAACTACAGGTATAAAATACGCCACTGTAGGACCTTCTTGGGACTTTTGTTGCCTTCAACAATACTGACAATGTAAACAATGTATAAAACACGCCCTATGTTATGCCCTATGTGTTTGAATAAATAAAATATAACAATGAGAGTAAAAGGTAAAAACAACATCTAAAAATACAAGCGAGAAAAATGAACACTAACTCTGACCAAAAGTAATTTTCTAGTTGCTATCGGAGCCACTTTTTGAGTTCCCATGCCGAATGTTAATAAGGGAAAGATTAATTTAAGAAATATGTTTCTATAACGGATATCACAGTTAATGGGGTTTATAAACTTGGCAATAAAAAAAGAGACTTTAAACAGTTATTGTTAAACAGTAAAGATCATAATTTTCCCTATGCAAGGAAAACCTTTCAGGAACTAAACATATTTTTGAAGAAGAAACCGAACTTGGTACTAGCGCAACAGCCCAGCCTTCAGGATCTGGCTTAGGCTTTAAAAAAATCACCTATCAATTAAATGTCAAACTAAAATACTACCTATTGTAAAAAAAAATAAAATAGACAGTGTGATTCGCAGTGCACACAACACTCTTCCTACTGTGACAAGTAGAAGTTCCAAACTTAATTGTACAATTTATGTTACCAATTTGTTGTAACAAACACCTACTGTACCCAAATCTTTAATGTTGTAGAGTAAACAAATTTTGAGAACAAATCTCTTATTTCATAAGTTTCCGGACACAATTGTGGGTATTCTGCTTAAGAATGATCCCAATGACCATTCAAAGTTTGCAAGTCTCTATTAATATTATTCGATTTCATTCTTTGCCTAAGGATTCTAGGCAAAGAATGCCTAGTAATTCTATATAGTACCTATATTATATATTTTGCCACGACACATACAAACTAAATTATAGCTGCAAGTTAAGTAGCAATATTTCATAGAGTTTACAATTTTAAACTTTTAACTAAATAAAACTTTCTAAATAAATATTAGTGATTTAAAAATATCTAATTTGGAAAAGTAATTGGATTGCTTTTGAATTCTCTGATGAACAATAAAATATACCGGTGGTGTGTGCCACGACTCATAATTAATGGATAGCCTAAGGCTGTAAGGCTGAACAGTATGCCAGATTTAGATTATTATATTGTATATTGTAATAAAACTACTATATTACTGATTTCGTTATGCATACAAAGCGGTCTAAAAATTTTAAATTGTAATTTACCCCATCTTGTAACTTTTTTCTTTTTTTTTGCTAAAAATATTATTTGAAAGCAGTATATCATAACATTAATTTTATAATAGATTATCCTTCATTAGAAGTATTCTGTATTGAAGTATTGTTGTCTCATTAACTTTCCATACTACCGATTAGAATAAGGTCGTCCACCACAATGTATCTTTGTATTTGGTATCTTAGAGGTTAACACCCTTATTTTTCTAATTAACAATAAAAATGACAAATAAAACAATACAATTTTAATTTAAAGCGTATATAGTAGGCCTAATTATTTTATAAATTTGTGATGTTAATTTGAAATTTTTGTTAAATTTATAAAAGATATAGTACATTATATTACTTTTGAATTTACATTATTTACTGAGATATTCGAAGTTCCAAATAGGTGAAGTAATACCTAATACAGTTAATTAGCTGTATAATTATTTATACACAATAATACAATAATTTTCTATATATTGCTTGCTACAATGTTATTGATAGTATGGTAATTCTTACTACAAAGTAAACAGTAATTCTCTAAGAGAAGAATCTAAGTAATTTAGACAAGTAATATTCATATTTGGTGTAGTGATAAGTCTACATTTCCTTTTATTATAAACCTGTTTAAAATCCAACATAATTTATTATCATTCCTATAACGACGGAACTGCATACCAAACCAAGTATTAGTAAAATGTTGAACAGTGCAAACATCTTATTAAATATGAAAATTTATAATGTAAAAGCTACGTAACACTCCGACATACGCTTTGAAGTAGTTACCGTACCTGACGATTATAAAATAGCTAGAGTAAAAAACATTTTTACTATGGTACCATATAGAAGTTTGTAAATAATAAAAAAAACCTCAATATTTTTCTAATCGGTCTCTAAAATATTATTTAACAAATGAAATTAGGTTTGAAGCAAAAATTTAGACATACCAATTTTTTTCTGACATTTTTATCTAGACTAGCGAGAAAACAAGTTGGACGAGTGCACCATGAACACTCAGCTGAATGCTGTCCTAACGTAAATATAAGAGGGGCAAATAAAGACAAAATGGTCATCTAAGAGAGGCTAAGGGAGCGGCTTACATGGGCCATATTCGAGCCTTAGTAAGATTTATTTCACATTACGCCTTCAGGCTCATCTTTACGCTCTGAGAAGAATTAATAGTGACAGCGCCAGAGACATTAGGTCAATGATAGATTTTTACTAAGATGTATCTAAATTCCGTTAGGCGTTTTTTTCTTATTGCCACCGAAATAAGTTCTTTTAATTATAACGAGCTATGATTTATTAAAATAAAATGTCGAATATATTTCGTAATATCATCGAAAAACTGTTTTTAATTATAGATTAAAAGCTAAACAGAAAGAAATTAGATAGGCCTATCCAAAATAAAAATAGCCACACTTCAAGTAAGGAATAAGATTTTTAATAAAACAAAAAACAATAATGTGACCAACTTATTCAAATGAAAACCATCAATTGATTGAGTGGTGGATATCGTTAATTAGCAACATCAATAATCTTTTTCCGGTTTTATGGAGTTTGATACACGTATTATTGCGTGTCTTATTTAATTATGCGTATGGTACTTTCCTTGAAATAAGGGTAACCTTAGCCTTTTATCAAGTCATAGGAGCATTGATGGTTCTGAAAAAGGTCTAAGATATACCTTTTTTCTAAACCGCATTTAGAATAATATACAGTACTCATAGGAAAACAATCATAATAAGAAAAACTTATATATTTCATAACTCATAAACATTTTGGGACTGAATGATCCTCTAAGATCGACGGCTACACAGGATTACTATGTGTCCCTTGGTGAAATTGTTACGTAACTTCCTAGTTTCCGCTAGGAAGAAGTAGACATGATTTAAGTTTGGGTTTGCAGAGAACGAGTACCAGCCTTTGGGGTGAGTGGATGGGTGTAATGCACGGTGACGAGATAGAGTACGTGTTTGGCCATCCTCTCAATATGTCTCTGCAATACAACGCCCGTGAGAGAGATCTCAGTCTACGCATCATGCAAGCCTACTCTAGGTTCGCTCTGACCGGGTAAGTAAACACTTAGTAGGCAGGACGATAGGCTCTATCCCCTAATGGACTTCAGGCTAGGCTTACAGGGTCTTGGCATTATTATCATTATAAAATCCATTGCTGGTTGATGGGTTTTGAACCCGCACATCGGAGACCCAAATACCGCCATTTACCAATAGACCAAATCGAGGTAGGCCTACTGTATGTCAAACGATAGAAACACAGAGGTATTAAAAAAATCAACGGAAAAATAATTATTAATGCCTTGAACGTTTCATCAATATTATCAACCATGATGATATTAAAAGATGGTATCGTTCTTAAACACAGCTACTTTGTATTTACACGGACATTTGAAACGGGACTTTAATAGGCCCCCGGACTTCATTCGGGTCTGTATAAAAGGTGTCCGTGTATATGATAAAACGATTTTATCTCTTACAAGGCAGATTTTGAAAATTTAGTTTGGAAAGACAAAAACTCATGAAAACATTTAGTAAGACAGATCGACTGGTATATTACTACCCTCCATGCTAGTAAGTTGATAAACCTTTTAAATATCCTAGGCTAATAATTCTAAAAGTCACAACTAATAGAACTGATAATTCTAAAATTAATTGCTTTATACAAATACAAATTAATCACTAAAGGGGGGCTATGGTACGTGGTTTAATTGCTAGTTGTAAGCATTATTTCGTAATTTACATGTTTTCCGACAAAATATAATCAATATTTGTAGTTAAAAACTATTGATTTACAACCTATCTTTACGATGGTAATACTTCTTAAATACATTAATTTTTGTATTGGAATAAAGAATTGAGTACTAGTTGTCATTTAGTCATATATAGATTGAATATGCAAATTCACAATACATATTGATACCATGATGTTTGTCCAACTTTATATTCTATGTGTGATTGCGTTCTCCTTAGGAAACCAGTATCAGATGACATAAACTGGCCGATATACTCCAGAGACCAGCCTCAGTACTACATCTTCAATGCTGAGAAAAGTGGCATAGGCAAGGGTCCTAGAGCAACTGCTTGCGCCTTCTGGAATGATTTTCTTCCCAGGCTCAAAGGACAGTCAGGTAAATATATAACGGAGACGTGCCATGAACGTAACGGTTCAGTGGGTGATGATTCCTGACTTTGGAATTTCTAGGACTTTGGTCCTCTTCAGCTTAGAGAGTGGAGACAGTAACATATTTAAACACTGGGTTTGACGAATCCCTAGCTCTAAGACAAGTCAAACAATCTTATTATGGAAACAGTGGTTAACCCGCGGGACACAGTGGACCTACAAAGTCTTCTTATTTTGTTGAGTGATCACTGCGCATGTCATAATGCTTTATTGCTGAAAAGGCAGAAAAAGATACCAATCCTCTTAAAAAACAGACGAAAATTATACTTTTTACTGCTAAATTCCGTTCAAATATAGGCCTGGTTATTCGTATGGTACTAAATTATCCCACCAACAGCCAACGATAATTGATGAGTAATTATTATATCTTCCTTTATTAATGATGAACACATTTTCCCGAATGGTATACCTAGCCTGGATTTTGTAAGAAGGATAAGTGTCGAAAGGTTTTTATATTTTAGGTTAGTGCTTATGGTGATGACAAAATTTAACTTTTTCCAAACACATTAAATACTACTAGCACAAATTGAAGTCCTTGTAAATCTCTTAAAAAGTTCACAACCTTTTTTTGGTAAATGTTACGTTGTTCATCAATATCAAAATTCAACTTTTGTAACACACCGCTAAATAGTGGCGGACCTCCTTTATAAAATACCCAAAAACGAGTGTAGTCATGTTTATTCCAGATGTTGAACTAGTTTATAAGAAATCTAGTTGAACCCATCTTCAGTATGTAAAAACCATGGATAGGGGCTGTCCCTGACAATCACCCGTAGTTCTGTAATGCATAGTCTGCAAATAGATCCACAGTGACAGGGTAACTGGTGTTTCCTGTTCTCACTTTCAGACCCAGAGTGCCTGGCTGATCTCCCAGAAGCGCAGACTAGCAGTCCCTGGGTAGACAAGGTCAAGGACAACTCTACATCAACGACGTACAAGTCGTCTGTCATCACCATGCTGGGGCTGCTGTTGCTGACAATATAAGAAGCCAGCTGTTTAACACCTGTTCCACAACACTAGCCTAGCGACTGCCGGCGGGCCAGGGCTTAGCCGCCGCCGACAATGCTACTAAATTCGTACTCGATAGCACTTTTGTACTGTTACGTTTTATTTCACTTTATTTTAGAATGCAAGGCCCAAAAGGACCGTGTAAAAATGTACTCGTATGATTTAGGCCTAATTAGAGTAACGACTTATTTTATCGAGACTTAGGAGAGATTACTGTTATAGTTACCGTACTGTTAAGTAAGGTGACGATTCAGTCGAAGCATATCATATACGAATATATATTATATAATATCGGTTTTTGTAAATAGTACTCTACTCGAAGTCGGGTAGAGATACGATACATATCGAATACATATCAAAAATGTAAATTATATTTGTATCGATTTAGAAGTATAAGTGCGTAGAAAAACGGATGTTCGGTTAGAACGAGACATCGGGTGAATTCTAGATCGGTCAAGTACTCTCGGAGGTCGGATTACAGCTTTCGTGTGCTTTGTTCAGGAGAGTGCGAAGGACGAAGTGACCTCGTGTCCGACTACATGCGTCATGCCATCATGCCAGCACATTACATGGCGCCCACATCCCTGTAAAGTTATCGCATATTTTAGGAACTTTTACAAGTACCTTTCTCCCAAGACCGCCATTTTATACGCATCTTATATACAGTAACTGACAACTGTACAATATTGTGAATAGATCGACTTGTTATATAGCCATATTTATATTATATATTTCTACGCTACTTTTATCTACGTAAGGTAATGAAACAAGGTATCTAGTAAAGTAGGGATCACTTCGGGACAATCTGACTGCGATTTTCGAGGCAGGCTGAACGTTAAATATTCGATGATACAGTTCACTGTTTAACTGTCGCGGGTTTACGGACCGACGGGGAGCGAAGACCAGAACGAGACCAGCCCCCTCAGCGTCGTCTTCCTCGTCGGGGCTAGCCTAACGACTTGCAGACTTACGATGGAAACATTTTCAGAGAGTTTCGATGCTTTGTGTTTGCGTAAACACGACTTTACTTTTCCTCTGTAATCTTAAAAACAATCAGTGCGAACGTTAATTTTGACGTTTAATGTCTATTACAGTCGGTAATGGTAAATAGTAGTGGTGTTCATTTACGGAATTACAAATAAAAACAGTTCTTCTAAAGAATCTTCATAACGTGGTCTGTAAAATTTCTTTGTAGTTGATTTTATGTATAAACTGTAAAAGAATCTTGATGGAAACTTGTACCCAAATGCTAAAGTTTTTTTTTTTTTTTTTTATTGAAGACAAACTAGTAATAGTTGTCTACTGTAGAGTGAGTGAACGCCACCTTAGCCGCCCCACTCGCCATGTCGCACATGAGTGTTAGAGTTATAGTAGTGCTCAATATATGTACCTTCACACAAAGTGCGTCTGTTTAGTATAAGTCTAAGACCGGTTCACCCACAAATAGCTTTCACTTTGCGAATGTCCGGGGTACTGATAGCTTTAGGAACATGTCTTTGTAATAAGAGAGGACTAAATTTTAAATTCGAATGTTGTATTTTGTAAATATAAATGCGAAAAATCGTCGATAATTAGAGACTATCTTTAACTCATTAATCAGTTGTAACGAGTACATATCATTAGATTAGTTGTATGATTTAGGTTAGTAAATCAAAGGGAGTACGTTTTGATATATGGAAGTAAAATTTCTCGTCTAGTTACACTGAAAAAGTAACAATAGGGGTTATTTTTTATATTTCATTAATGTATGTATTATTGTTGCTATCTCGGCGTCAAATATATATATTTGTTTTTGTAATATTGTATATCAAAGAAATGTAGTTTTTATTCCCTTGTCACATTACATACTATATCAGTGCTGAAGACGAGAGCTTGTAGTAGTTTTATTTCAGAGATGTAAGTTTACTGTGCCTCATACCGATCACTTCGGTCGCAACGCTGATCTCAGACGCTTATGCGTCTACCTCGTACCATATCACGTTAGTAGAACTAATGCCTTCACCTTACCACTTAAACCAATCGCAGTATACTCGTACCTTCCGGTGTAGCCATTTCATTTACTTACGTCTCTGTGGTCTGATTTTATATTTGTATAATTTTTATTAATGTGAAGCACTACTGGAATTGCCTTTATAGATTACAAGTCCGCTTTTTACATCAAGAACATGATAATATCGTATTGTGGTTTTAAGAAAATATATTATGGTATCGTAAAATTAATGATTTACTCCGATTACTTTTTATTTTAAAAATAGTAAAAGCGATTAACGGAAGGGATTTTACAAATTCAAAAGTTATCTTTAAGTGATATGAAAATTTAGTAATTAAGAAAGGCGTATTTGAAAGTACATTTAGTACTACTAGGCGTCCCAAAATATCATAAATCTTGGAAATGTTTATCTTTCAAACCCCGAGCGCGCTACAACGTGAGATTCGCCTTTCATACAGCAGTTCCTGGAGTGAACCACCGCTACGCCACTTGAACACAGAAGTCGCTCAAGAGAGCATTTGTGGATGTAACTTGACACATATCAAACATAGGCCTAAAGCTTGTGTATAAGTGTTGTAAAAATGTACTGTTACGATGTCCCTTGTGTCGTATGTGTAATTCTAAGAAGTAGCTGCGACAGTGTCCACCAACTCTCTGTGGCCCTAGCCCCCAATCTGCAGTTGAAAAACAACTTCCATGTACAAGTAAACATACGCTTCTTAATCTAAGTGTACCAAAAGCAATTTGTTTTGAAACCACCCGAAATAAAGGTTTCGATTTCAACTAACGATTGAGGGCCAAAGATGTTGTCGCTTGCTTACTAGAGATATCTCCCAGATTTGCAGTTAACCGAACTAAGTTGGAAAAAATCAACAGTAGTCATAGAAAATGTTGGAAAACAATTCAAATCAGTTGACTATTATTAAAACTTGTATAACCACTAAAAGACAAAATTATTTATATACTTGCAGCTTGAAATTTCACTTTATTATTTATTATATCTTAAAAATGAATGATAACCATGATTCAACCTTATTTTCCAATTTATTTTATCAATTTTCCATTCCCAAAATCAGCAACGATAAAAAATAACCTACCCAATTTGTTTAATTTTTTTATTTTATTTTATTTTATTTTGCCAACGGATTTACACCAATTTTACAGTTTGATTGAGTTGTTAATTGCTCATTATGACTAGATAAACCAAATAATAACAATGAAAGGAATGTCAAAAGTAACAATAATAAGAGTAAAGTATACATGTGAAAAACTTGGACAAAGAAAGAACTGAGTAACGATAAACAAATACATAGTTGAATGAATAACGAAGATATGTATACAATAAATGACACATGGACTAACCTAGAAAACAATAAACAATATAAATAACAATGAAATAACAATAAACAGATACATAAATATTTTTGTGAGAACAATAAATAATATTAAAAACAATGATAAATTATTATATTACACTAAAACGCGTATGATTACATACAAATATATAAGACAAAGTCTTTGGGTTACGAATGTTAAGTCTTTGTATAGTAAATAAAGTGTATAATAAAGTGTCTTTGGTTTAATAAATTGTACACATAAAACATCAATAATAATATTTTTAAACCAACCCTTATCCAAAGGAATCATAACTATACAAAAACATTAATAATTTATGTATTTTTCAAAATTCAAAGTAGCATTTTACTTTTACTAATAACTTTTTTCATACTAACTTCTGTAAAGTCAATTGAGTTTGATAATAGACCGTATTTTGGTCGTTTATTCCAACTTAGTGAGCTGATCTGGAGCCTGGGAGAACTTGAGTCACGCCTTATCTACTAAGGGAGAACGCCCTTCGGCTCAGGGGGTGTCTCTCCTTAGCCTACAAGCTTCTCTATGACGGAAACGTGTTAGTGGGCCCTCTCCATCCTTCCTGCAGTAGTGTGCAGCTTTTCTATTGTAAGCTCAGCCTATGTATATGTAGGATGTATCTATTTATAAAATGTGTCTAACGCACGCCATAGCTAATATTAGAGTAGATTTCAGTTTGTTAATCAGTGAGATCGTGATAGCACACAGCAGACTGGAACTGAACTAAAACATATCACATACACAGACTTTGAATATTTTACTGGCGTGTATGCAACGCTGACTTTATCGAAGAACGCCAATTCTTCCCATTAAAAATGATGTATCGATATAATATTTTTATATTACTCTCTATAAATTAATGAAATGTTATCTTTAAAACTGATGTACTATAATACACGTTTGATACCTTGTATACCTACATTCCAGTTGTCTACTTTGAGGTAGTAGTTGTATGGGTAAATATGAGGAAGAAGGTAATTAACGGGAAAACATTGTCCCTAAAATAGTAAAATTTAACAGTAAATAAGTACAGTTTGTTATTTTAAAAGCCAACAGTCGAATACTACAAACGCAGTTTATTTCGACTCTGCTGTATTGCGATTAACGCGCGACTAAAGGAATAAAGTGTACGGGAACTGTGAGTTTCAGTTTGTTGGAAAAGATATATAAGTTACCCATTGTTAGTGATAAGAGAAATTTTATACTTTGAAAAACTATATATTATAGCAGGATTGGAGACTTGTGGGAAGATGTACAATGCAGCTATATAATAGTTTTTCACTTTTTTATCCAGCCTCTGGTTCAGGAAAGAATGCGGTTTGAACATTAAAATCCGTCTTGGTTCGATTTTAACAACCGTTTTAACAACTTATTGGGTTTTGTTATAAAAAAAGGGTTTAGTCTATTACCTTACCACGATTAATGTTTGCTGGTCAAACTATAATCTGTCACCCTCTATCGACGCTGCACGGTGCATTTCTCGCAAGCCTACTGTTGTACTGCTTACCCGCTGTTCGGTGGATAGTCTGTTCATTTTATGTTTCTTGTTATGTATCACCTGACGTTGTATACACATATAGCCTCAATAAAAGAGGAATATGTCCAACACTTGTTTTATTTGCAATCCTCCTCCAATAATGTATTGATAATGAAAACAGTGGTGAAGAAAAAATTACAAAATATGTTCTGTGTATTATGAGTCGACTCATAAAAGGCACGCAGTATTGTAATTTTTTGGTAAAGGGTTACTTCAATTGGTCAATAAAAGAAAATACATAGGAACTACTTCCGACTACCTATATGGTAATTTTTGAGTAGGCCTACAGATTATAGAATCTCATTTAATGAAAATATTCATCAAAACTATAACGATATATTTTTCTCTAAATCATACACAAAATTGTCCGTACTCTATTGACAAACAGTGTTAAGTATATAAAGTGATTTTGAAATTGACTTCGTAAGTAGTAGTATTGCACGTGTCTATAAATTATCAACACTGTACATCAACTTTATCAAGCCAGTTGAGCTAAAAGTTGTGTCACAAGCGACGAATCCAGGAGAATGGAACCAATTGAGACCAGGCATCCCATTCCAGTATCGACATTTCGTGCTGTGCGTGTGTTGGTAAGCCTGCACACGGGGAACAAGTTGGAATTGACTTATTACTTTGTAAATTCAATTTAGTTGTGGCGCTCTGCGGTGCACTAGATAGAAAACAACCGAACGAGTGGTTTAAGGTTATATAACTAAAAACAGATAACTTAAAGAGCACATTGTATATAAACAAGAAAAATAGGTTTAAAAGGTACGGAAAAAAGTATGGTAATCACAAAATCAATTTAGCTAACTCAAGTATCTTCTATTTCACCTGTATCCACCAGCGAGTGTGGATTTAGCTGGTTTAGCTCAAAAGGTGACTGAAAACAATTTATTTGAAAATATGTTTGCTAAATGAAATAAAGATACAAACCTTCTTATTTTTAATTAATAACACCTTTTAGAATAAATTTCTTGTGTAATATTTGAATACTATGTGATTGGAAGCTTTTTACACTTATATATACTTTTATTAAAGAAGTAAAGGTTTAACGAGTAGCAATATCCCAGAAGTTTTTGGATTCATGGCGTTTATAAAGATGTAAAATACTAGTAAAACCTCATACTAGTGATACTTCATGCTAGTAAAATAAAAAATAGAATTAATGAGGAATGATAATAAATTACAGTTTTACCAAAAATATGATTGATACTTAAGAGTCCAATGAAATACTGCACAATTGAACACAAACGCCTTAGGCTGGATAAAGCGAACCTAAGTTTTTATAACTTTTCCTATGACTTATGACTTATTAACGCAAAATGATGTTTTATTGTTTATTAAAGAGCTACTATAAATCACATTACTAAACCCGTTGCTCTAGATAATAAAACACTGATGTTTGTACCACAACGTTTTGGGTTAACAAAGAATCTTTATTTAAGCTTCCGTGTAAAACTTTATTTCAAAAAATACTCTGGTATAATACATTTAAAAAATATGCTACATAATATAAACTAATGAAATAGGATATTAATGGATTTAAAGTAGATTTTCAAAAATGTCCTTACTGATTTTTAAACTTAAACGAAAAGTTAAATAATTATAACTTGACATTATCAAGGTTCATTACTTAAGTACCATAAAGGAGCGCTTAGAAAGGGTGATCCCCACGGGATCTTCCCAGCTACCTTTAAGGTTTTGAAATTAACTGTATGGATATTTTATACCCAATTGTATCCTAAGCATACAATTGGGTATATTCTATATAATTCATTACTGCCATTCGCTCAATTATTCCAACTGTTAAAAATCTTGTTATTTATTCATTCCAACGGAAAAAAACATTTTACAATAACAAATACATAAAATGGATAATTTAACAAAAATTCACAAAATATGTATGAAGCTTATACAGTATACTGTATAAGATGGCAGACACATCATTAAAGGTTAAACTAACAAAACTCACAAGTTACAAAGATAACTAATAGTAGGTTAATAGTAGTTGGTTAATAGTAGTTTACGCAACGATTGTGTAAAGACAGTATTAACGACACGAGTAGAAAATTTAAGGTACGAGCCTTGGCAGGTGCATAACCGGGTAATTTACCTACGACAGTGTTTTAATTACTAAAAATCACTATTCATGACTTCTAAGAGAGGCTATGTTTTCGTTAATAACCTCTCATTGCCACTGACAGTGATGCAACGAATTATTGTACCAAACACTAACTGCACCACTCAACAATTAAATTGGCCTGAACAGCTGATCTGTTGAAGTTCAAATCACTACAATTTTACTTCTTCTTTCTCAATCCTTGAATCTCATTGGTCCGTTACCCGTGTTGTTACTTTTCAATTCTAAGTACTGAACTGAAACAGATACTTTAAAAAACGGTCGTACGAAAAAATTAACAAGTAACATAATAAGATTGGTAACAATACCAAAAAATACAATATTACAAAGTACAGAATAACAAAGTGGACTGATAATAAAGTATAACAATCTATTACAAATCAACAACAGTCCAAGTAGCATAATGAACAAATTTAATTAAAGCATGAGATAATATTAAAAAAATTAACTGCCTTTAACAGACAAAAATCAAATTTAGAGCTTTTATGATTTTAAAATTTATGATTTGACAAACCACGGTAAGTACATTGAATGATTAGTTTTATATTATTATTTCTTTACTTTGTACAGAAAATTCTGCAAGTTCATCGTAGAACCTGGCTTGACGTGCAGACAAACGCAGGGTACGTACGGATATCACTGTAATAGTATACAGTTTTATAAATTGAGATCAGCAATACCAGACCCGACGAGATTGATTAAGATAGCAAAAAGACATTTCTTTTGTTGGAAGTTTTCTTTTCTTCTGTAGTTGAATTTGTTTTGAATTAAATATACGAACTTCTTCTTTATACATTTTCTGTGAATGGGAAATTGTATTAAAAACTGATAACAAATATTATAAAATGTTTAGTAACAGAACTTAGATAGTTCTTTATTTATTCTGTAGCTGTGTTTAACTCCGTTTTTCATTAGTGCAAGTAGTTTTCTTACACTTGTAAAATTAGTTTTGCTTCGAGTAGTTATTTTAAGAA